CGTTTCAAGAAATTTTAAGGAAGCCAGCAGCATCACTTATCTATAACATTACCCATTAGACCTTTGAACTTTAAACCAATCGAATGCTCCATCATTTTCTGAGGTTCTGATATCCAAGTATTACCTTCACAATGCTCTAGCAATACCCAAGTATTACTTTCAGAATGCCCCAGCAATACCCAAGTATTACCTTCAGAATGCTTCAATAATCAACCAGTCCTTTTAAAATAACGTCACTTCTCGCTCGTATGCGCGCTATGGCCAAATTTGGACGTAATTTGAAATGAAATCGACTCACAAAAGTGACGTACTGTTCCGTTTTCTGTTTGAGTCGTCCGGCTTACTCAGTAAGGTTAAAAGAGGAAACTTTCAATTAACGTTTTTCATAACGTTTTGAAACTTTATGAGAATTTCCTGCCCACCTAACCTATCAGAGGACCCTTAACTAACTGTTGTTGAAAAAAAAATCCCAAATTTATTTTAATTTGTTTTTTCATTTTCAAATTACGTCCATTTACGGCCATACGGGTAAACGGCCAAAAGCGACGTTATTTTTAAGAGGACAGGTTGCAATAATACCCAAGTATTACCTTCACAATGCCCCAGCCATACCCAGGTAAGTCCCTCACAAGTGAGTCTGGTAGAAGATATTTCATTCGTGTGTATTAACAGATTTGGTGTGCTTGTATTATCTCTTGTATTATTCTTTACTTATATAACTTATACATCCTTATGCACTTATGCATCCACTTATGAGGTAAGTGATAATAAAAATAATAATTAGTCTGTTGGAGAAGATAGATAGTATCCGCTGGAGCTGGTAGATGATGTCCGCTGGAGCAGGTAGATGATGTCCGCTGGAGCTGGTAGATGATGTCCGCTGGAGCTGGTAGATGATGTCCGCTGGATCTGGTAGATGATGTCCGCTGGAGCAGGTAGATGATGTCCGCTGGAGCTGGTAGATGATGTCCGCTGGAGCAGGTAGATGATGTCCGCTGGAGCTGGTAGATGATGTCCGCTGGAGCTGGTAGATGATGTCCGCTGGAGCTGGTAGATGATGTCCGCTGGAGCAGGTAGATGATGTCCGCTGGAGCTGGTAGATGATGTCCGCTGGAGCTGGTAGATGATGTCCGCTGGAGCTGGTAGATGATGTCCGCTGGAGCTGGTAGATGATGTCCGCTGGAGCAGGTAGATGATGTCCGCTGGAGCTGGTAGATGATGTCCGCTGGAGCTGGTAGATGATGTCCGCTGGAGCTGGTAGATGATGTCCGCTGGAGCTGGTAGATGATGTCCGCTGGAGCTGGTAGATGATGTCCGCTGGAGCTGGTAGATGATGTCCGCTGGAGCAGTAGATGATGTCCGCTGGAGCTGGTAGATGATGTCCGCTGGAGCAGGTAATGATGTCCGCTGGAGCTGGTAGATGATGTCCGCTGGAGCTGGTAGATGATGTCCGCTGGAGCAGGTAGATGTGTCCGCTGGAGAGATGATGTCCGCTGGAGCTGGTAGATGATGTCCGCTGGAGCTGGTAGATGATGTCCGCTGGAGCTGGTAGATGATGTCCGCTGGAGCAGGTAGATGATGTCCGCTGGAGCTGGTAGATGATGTCCGCTGGAGCTGGTAGATGATGTCCGCTGGAGCTGGTAGATGATGTCCGCTGGAGCTGGTAGATGATATCCGCTGGAGCTGGTAGATGATGTCCGCTGGAGCTGGTAGATGATGTCCGCTGGAGCTGGTAGATGATGTCCGCTGGAGCTGGTAGATGATGTCCGCTGGAGCTGGTAGATGATGTCCGTTGGAGCTGGTAGATGATGTCCGTTGGAGCAGGTAGATGATGTCCGCTGGAGCTGGTAGATGATGTCCGCTGGAGCTGGTGATCGGTGTCCTGACCCCATACAGGTCAGTATTCGACTCCGGACCTAATCATGTAGACTATTATGGCTCATCTGCCCCTTAGATTTTTAAAGTTCAGCGGGCTTTCCACAGCCAATTAGCGAGCCAAAGCCCATGCTCGGCAATATTCTCGATCTGGCTTCCGTTCATGCTGAAGCTGTAATTGTAGCCAGGGACGTTTGGCCGGGAGTCAACAGAGCAGTCGCCCGTCTCTGAGTGGGGAAAGGATCCGATCCTGACATAGGAGAGCATCTGTTCCTGTCTTTTGGGGATTGAATTACCTCCCTGAGTGGAGGATAGTTGATCCAAGTCTGATGGGAATTTGATTAGTTCGCTTGCGGCAAAGTAGGTGGCACTCTGTTGGGATAGTGATCAGGTTCCTAAAAGGAGGGCAGTTGTCCCTGTTTCTTGGGATAGGGATGATTTTCCTTACAGCAGAGCAGCTGTCCATGTTTCTTGGGATAGGAATGATTTTCCTTACAGCAGAAAAGTTCTCCGCGTGTGGCTAGGGATTAAATCGTCGTAGCACAATATGTGTCCGTCTGATACGACCAGGATAAGTTCTGCGTCCATCAAAAGTAGTCTTGGATACTACAGCCCGGATTAGTTC